TCCTCCTCTTCCTCCTCCTCCTCCTCCTCTTCCTCCTCCTCCACCTCTTCCTCCTCCTCCCCCTCTTCCTCTTCCTCCTCTTCCTCCCCCTCCTCTTCCTCTTCTTCCTCCTCCTCCTATTCGTCCACCTCCTCTTTCTTCTCCTCATTCTCCTCTCCCTTCTCTTTCTCCTCCTTCATGGTGTCGTAGATGAACAGAGAAACGTTTGAGCAGATGTTGTTGATGACGGCCCAGAAATAAGATGTAGATTCTGACTGTCTCTCAGGGCAACCCGATTTAAAAAAAATGAAATCATTGACTACCTGAAGGTATGATAAAATAAATCTTTGAAATTTTCATCGGCTCGATGAATCTATTATTTACATACATGTGTCATATCTGATTATTTGTATAACAAAAGTCATATCATTTTTTTTTCTGCCCTAAATTTATAGGAATTTTTTTGGGGGGGTTATTTTTTGATTTGTTGTTGTTATTGTTCGTTCTTTGATTGATGTTTTTTATTCGTTCCTTTGACTGTTCGCTTTATTTTGTAATACATAACGCATCTTTCTTTATTCGACCACTGATAAATACACCCTTCAATTTTATTTATTTCTGCTTCTGATTCATACTAGCACTGGTGTACTGATGGGGGGGGGGGGGGGTGGGAATGAGTTGCCCCCCCCCAAAAAAAAAAAATAAATAAAATAAAATAAAAATAAATAAATAAATAAATAAAGATTAACAAATGTTATTGAAATGACACGATTTTCCGGGTTTTTCTTTACTTTTTTGTAAATTATAACACATTGCTTTTCTTTCTGCCCCCAACAATTTTTTTTTATCATTACGCCACTGCTTTCTACCAACCTAAGGGAAGTGCGATCTCCTGTTTCCTCACTACCGACGATGGTGCACTCCTCATGGGCGGCGTCCATCTCACCCTCATCCTCCCCAATCCCGATATTCTGGACGAACTGAGGCTCGGTCTTGAAGACGCTGTCGCAAGCGTTGTGAATATAAGCCCAGATATTCAATTCAATTCAATTCAATTCAATTTTATTTCGCAATATAAAAATCAAAATATACAAAGTAACAGTAAATTTTAACTATGTTTACAAAGGTTATATGCGGGGCTTTCCATGAAGGTTGCGAAAACCTGTGAAGTTGGATCGCCCATTAAAGAATGAAAAACAAATACAAAAAGAAATATAACATATTATAAGCACACAACAATAAATTAAGTAAAATAAGCAAAGTACAAACACTTCAACTATCTATAAGACAAGAGAAATTAAAATAGAGAGAAGAAAAACATTATATAAAGGGGGAAAAGAAAGGAAAGGAAAACAAGATAACAATGAAAGAGGGTTCAGATATACAATTTAGAATTAAAAAAAATCAACAACTGAGCTGATTAGTAATTATTTAGTAGTAAGATTTTATATTGTTTTCTAAAGGAAGATATGAATTGTGATTTCGTTATTACTTGGGGAATCATATTCCACTGTTTAGGACCTAGATAACTCATTGATTTAGCTTCATAACTAGACTTAACAGACCATAAATGAAATTTGTTGGAAAGCCGTGTATTATAATTATAAATTTGACTATTATATTGAAAGAGGTCTGAAAAGGGGGCAGGTAACAACTTGTTTTTATATTTGTACATGAACGTTGCGATTTCTTGCTTATTTATATCATATATATTTAATAACGAAAGCTTCTTAAACAAAGGTGCTGATGGTGCTAGATAATGAGAATTGGTAGCTATTCTTAAACATTTCTTTTGAACTTTAAATAGTGAGTCTAATTCAGTTTGTGTTGCATTAGTGGCCCATACAATATTACAATATTTCAAGTAAGGGAAAATAATGGAATGATATAAAGTTATCAAATTTTCGGGTAACAAACTATATTTTAGCTTATTTATCAAGCCAGCATTTCTGCTGATCTTATGTAAAACATTTGTGATATGGTCCTTAAATCCCAAGCAATTATCTAATACGACACCCAAGAAGTTAACGGAATTACTTAATTGAATAAGTTTATTATTAATGTAAATGGGAATATTATCGTTATTAATTAAAGGACCGTTATTGCTAGCTATATCGGAAATTTTGGAAATTTTAGATCCTATATTATATTTAGTTTTTCGAAAATAAACACATTTAGTTTTGTCAACATTCAGGGACAATTTATTTGCTTTTAACCAGTCAGATATATTCTTAAGCTCATTATTTAGAACGCGGACAGTATTATTCAAATCTTTAGATGAAAAAAATATACTAGTGTCATCAGCAAATTGATAGAAGGTTAATAAGTTAGATGATTTACAAAGATCATTTATGTATAAAAGAAATAGCAGGGGACCCAGTATTGATCCCTGAGGTACCCCAATAAAGACATTTAACGAAGAAGACAAAACACCGTGGACAAAAGTATGTTGAACTCTGTTTAAAAGATAGTCCCTAAACCAGTCTAATGCAATCCCTCGTATTCCACATTGTTGTAGTTTAAATAAAAGTATCGAGTGATCCATAGAATCGAATGCCTTAGATAAGTCTAAGAAAATCCCTATTATATGTTCGTTAGCTTGAAACGAATCTAATATTTTTTGTTGCACTTTTAAAAGAACATGTTCACAGGAATAGCTGGGTCTAAATCCATATTGAGTGTCACTTAAAATATCGTTGATATTTAAAAATTTATATAACCGATTATAGATTAGTCGTTCAAGTAATTTAGAAAAACATGGTAAGAGGGATATGGGTCTATAGTTTACAAATTTGCCGGGATCGTCTTTCTTAAAAACAGGGATTACTTTAGATTCTTTAAGTTTTAAGGGTACTTTACCAGATACAATGGAAAGATTAAATACATGAACTAACGGCAATACAATGGCATGGATAACCCGCTTAACAACTTTACAGCTTACATTATCGATTCCACAACTTGCATTACTTCTAAGGTATTTACTGACATCAATTAATTCACTCGTATGTACAGGTGATAAAAAGATTGAATCAACAACACTTGTTCGACAATAAAAATGAGAAGAATGAATAGATTGTGGTACCGCGTCACTAACAGTTTTTCCAATGTTAATAAAATAATTATTGAATTGATTTGTTATTTCAATAGGCTCAGTAAATAATTTTCCGTTACATTGAAATGTTTTTGGAATTTGACTTTTCTTTTTGCCCAATAATTCATTAATTGTTTTCCAGGTCTTTTTAATACTATTTCGATTCAATTGTAACAAGTTCTTATAATATTCTTGACGAGCTCTACGAAGGGCATTAATAACTTTATTTCTAATTTTTTTAAATTTTCTCTCATCACTTGTACGTCTTGTTTGACAAAATGTTTTAAAACTTTTATTTTTTTTCTTAATCAATTTCAATATTTTATTGGTAACCCACGGTTTCCTATTTTTTCTTCTCTTTTTTGTTGATGTAAGAGGAAAATGTTTATCATACAATTTGAGGAATATATTCATAAATAAAGTATAAGCTTTATCAGCATCCATACACCTTAGTACGTCACCCCAATCAATGTTACTTAATTCAACAAAAAAAGTATTAATCGTTAAATCATTGATTTTCCTGTAAGTATAGGACTGTTCTGAAACATTTTTATAAACACCTCTCTTATAGCAGAAATTGGCATATGATCAGTAATTGAGGAATAAAAAATACCTGGAGTAACATCATTGTCATTCGTTAATATGTTATCAATAATAGAAAGGGATGAGTTGGTTACACGGGTTGGAAGGTTAATTTGAATGTAAAAGCCGTGTGACGCAATTATGTTCATTAGAGTAATAATACTATTTGAAGTAATTTTCAATAAATCAATATTATAGTCTCCAAGGAGATAGATTTGTTTATTTTCCTTGGAGAGTTCTTGCAATAGTTTATCAAAATATGTCATATATTTATATAAATTGGACTTCGGGGGTCTGTAGATTACACCAATTACTATACTTTTTAATCGAGGTATATTAATTTCAACAAATACAGTTTCACATGAAGAACACGTGGGATTCAAGTCATCCCGTAATCGATAACACAACTTTTCATCTAAAAATATTCCCACGCCTCCTCCTCTACCAACTTTTCTGTTATTATTAATAAAGTTATATCCATCCAACATGTAACAATTTTCGTTTTCTGAATTCAGCCACGTCTCTGTAATACCAATAGCCGTAAAATTTAAAGAAAGGTTGCTAAGGTAGGCAGAAATTTGATCGAAGTTTTTGGCCATACTCCTCGAGTTAAAGTGTATAGCACTAAATTGTACTAAATTTGGATCTATAGACTCTTTGAATTCATCTTCCAAATAATATTTGCAATCATTTACATATTGTTGATCAAAGTCAGAATCAAGAATTGGAATAGAATCGTTTAATCTTACATCTTCACTCATGTCATTTAAATCATCGTAAGTTATACGTATTTTGTTTACTTGTGCAACACAGTTAAGGTATTCATCATTGTTGACAGAAAAGAATGGAAAGACAGAACACAAATTCATAGACATGCAAAATACGGGAACAAAATATTCATACAAAAACTACGTAAACTACAAAATTAAACAGGTCTATTGAGTAGTCCAAATTAATATATGTATATCTATATATATATATATATATATATATAATATATCGGGCAAAAACAAAACAGAAAATATAAAATTGAATGCATATGGAAATGCATCAGTGAAAATATTAAATGTGAAGTCAGGATATCTTTCTGGGTTGCCTGATTGAGAAAGTAAATTTGAAATCATTGAATGAATGAAATGGTAGCTTTAGGAAAGGAGTATACTTTTATTGATAATCGTTGATATTGTAATTTTTATTATTATTGTTATTATTAATGGTATTATTATTAATACTATTATCATTATTATTATCATTATTCTACTTATTATTTTCATTATTTTTTTTATTATTATCATTATCATTATCTAATTTATCATTGACAAACCTTGGGGATACGATATCTTGTCTCTCAATGGACGACCACGGCTTTCTTCTCGTCGACGTCCATTTCATCCTCCTTCCCTTTCACGATATCTTGAACGAACTGGAGCCCGGCCTGGAAGACGCCATATAAGGGGTTGCGGATCAAGGTCCAGATCAGGGAGATCAAAAACATGGTCTCGATCTCATCAACACAAACTTCACCAACCTGTGACGTTGTCTCATCGTCACTAGTGACGTCATTACCTGAGGGGCCGCTAGACAGGTAGCTGCTGCTGTCCTCCTCTGTTTTAGTAAGTGATATAATATTTATTAAAGGGCGGAACTTGCACGGTGAAAATCTCAAAACTTGTAACAATAATCAAAATGATGTTGTGTGTGAGAGAGAGATAGAGAGGAAGAGGGGTAGGGAGAGAGAGAGAGAAAAGAGAGAGAGAGAGAGAGAGAGAGAGAGAGGGGGGGGGGGAGGGGAGAAATTAGGAGCATACAAATCATCACATTGACAGGTGAGTCATCGGATGAACCTCAAAGTAATATTATGTTATGATTTATACTAAAAATAATTTAGGAATTATACACGTATTTGTAAAATTGAAATATAAAGACAAAACAAGAAAAAAAGCTTATACCTGTCTGGTCCAAGCTCTTGACCTTGGTGATGTGGACAATGTCACACTTCTTGACCATCAAAGTCTGGTCAGTCTGTGAGCTGGTCTCATCCTCACTGGACTCTTCGATTGCATCCTTGATGGCACGCTCGACCTCCTGATCAACACTACAATCGTCGTCGGTGTCTTGAGATGGAAAATAATTAAGAAAACCATGAATTTGACAACGAGCCCTGTAAAGTTGTTTTAAAGATATTGTTATAGCTCATCAAGAAAGAGGATTTATAATAAGACTCCCAGGCAACAAATTAGTATTTCTCCAACCTCAACCCCCCCCCCCCCCCCTCACTCTCTCTCTCTCTCTTTCTTTGTAAATCTCCATCTAAAAATATATATTATGTATCAGAATGTATTTCTGATCCTCTCTTTCTTTGGGCTATTTATTCCGTGCATGTCCTAATTCCGAATACCTCACGAAAACAATTTCTCCTTTATTTTATTTTCTAACTCAACATAAGCTGATTATTCTCGTTTGCTTACATTCATCCTCAGAATACACAAGTCCACGGACTGGTGTTGTGTCGTCATCAGCGTTGGATTCGGCATCGGCATTGTCAGCATCTTCGTTCCCGTACTCGACATCGGATGTCACCGACTCGTCATCGTTCTCCTCATCGTTGATGAACCGATCTATCATGACGGACGTGAGCAAAACTGAACATATCTATTTCTAATTCGTGGATCTGTTTTCTCCTCTCAAAGGTTAAAGATTAAGACCAGTTATGGTCATGCGATTGCATTGTGAAAGAAACGTTGTGAAATCGATCAGAAAAGGTTGATCATCTAGCATATTGGTAGTGGTGTGTACTGCAAGGTTCTGGAATCATCAAGATGATAAGAAGATGTATATGGGACTATACGCACACGTGCGCGACACGTGCGTTTATCTCTCACAGTCCAATAGATAAACTAATATACCAAATATATCAATCAGTAGGCGGTTTCCCGACAAAATTGTTATCATCATGTATTAGTCAAAACATATTCTTTCACATGATTGGTAATAAAGAGCTTCCATTTCATTTTTTTTTTAATTGGGGCGTTTCCGATACTGGTCTTTCCCTTTAAGAAGTTCTCATCCCTTCTTTATCATTTCTTCTACCTCCTTTTTTCTGCTTCTCATTCATTTAACATTTTCCGAAACGTAATATCATAAAGTATGTCTGAAATATATACTAAACTTAATTGTTCAGAATGTAAGTTTTGTCTCATATTTTATTATGCAAAAACAGTAAAATGCATGCATAATGAAAATCCATAATATTCCTCACGAAAAAAGAGTTTGTCTTCATTCACACATTGTCAATACCATGGGTTTTCCCCCCAATACAGTAGGCTTGCGTGTGCACCATGAGAGATAGGGAAGATTGAGGAGTCCTGAAAAGGACTCTCGGGAATCTTACTTGAGGGTGTGTAGTTATGAAAAGGACTGTTGGTGTAGTCTTGAAAAAGACTGTTGGTTATCTTTAGGAGTGGAGAATAGCTGGCGTGCGTGAGCTTTTCAGGACTCCTCAATCGTCCCTCTCTCTCTCACATGGTGCACCCGCAAGCCTACTGTATATCTACATCACCATGCAAGCCGATACTTACCAGCAGCATCTAAGACTAGTCTTGTATGACAACCAATAGAGTGTTGTTTAAAAAAAATAAAAAAAAAAAAAAAAAAAAAAAAAAAAAACCTTCAAAGCCATCACGAGCAATTTTTGACACTTGCAAAGAAACGACCGCGCAACTTACGGTAGGACAGGCAGTACTGAGAGGAAACCCTCACGTCCTTCGGATAGGACGTAGAGGGCAGCTCGTCCTCGACCTTGCTCGGTGCTGCTGGCATCATGGCCTGGTGGTGATCTTGGCCAAGTACAGCAGGGGCAGACCAGGATGTCTGAAGTGCCCATGGCTCGACACCAGTGGCTGAGTGGATCGAAGTAGCAGATGACTTGCTGGAGTCGTTGACAAGGATAACGTCATCGCTGTCGTCATCACTGTCCATATCGCCCTCCATCACTTGCAATGCAATCGAATTTGGCTGTTTTGGCTTAAAGCCCCAGTCCCATATAAAGCCGGACCAGCACGGACGAGCACGGACCACTCCGGACCTTCCCGGACCATGGTCTGGGGTGATCCGGGATGGTCCGGGATGTTTTGTTCAAAAAATCGCAACCGCCGACCGTCTCCCCGGACCCAACACGGTACCACTACGGACCGCCCCGGACCGTCCGGGCATAGCCCCGGCAGCAGTACAGATCATTCCAGACCCAGCACGGAGCCGCCACGGACCGTCCCGGACCACCCCGGTGCCAACACGGTGCCAACACGGATGACACCGGACCATCCCGGTGCCAACACGGATCATCCCGGAACGCCCCGGTGCCAACACGGATCGCCCCGGCAGAGCCCCGGATCATCCAGGGTGATCCGTGTCGCCACCGTGCTGGGTCCGGGATCATCCGTAGGGGCGCCGGGGTGATCCGGGGTCAATAACTCACTCCCGGACTGCCACGGATCAACACGGACCGCCCCGGCGCCACTACGGATGACCCCGGACCCAGCACGGTGGCTACACGGATCACCCCGGATCAAACTATTGTCCCGGACCGTCCCGGACCACCCCGGCAGTTTTTGACCGTCAAAAACATCCGGGGTCGACTCCCGGACCGCCCAGGACCATCCAGAAATATCCAGGACCATCCAGGACCATCCAGGACCACCCCGGTGCCAACACGGTGTCAACACGGACCGAATCCCGGATCACCCCGGATGGGGTCCGGGATGGTCCGGGATGGTCCGGGACGTATATGGGACTGTAGCTTTACCATAAACAAATATATTATATGATATGGCATATTGCAGCATGATATATCTGTACATGTATATTGATTTTGAGATTAGAGCTAGTTCGATTCCTTTTAATTGATGGAATCAGCTTTACAGATTGTATTAACTTTTGGTCTCTGTTTGCTTGGTCAAACCATGATTTAAAATATTTTGAGAGCTTAAAATGAATATCTATTACCTTGCCAAGATTTTTTATTTGTTATTTTTTACTGAACCTTCTAAGTATAAACTGTTATACTGTACGCACTTCTTAACTTCTTTCTTACAGTCAACCAAGTTTTTATTATCATATCAATCTAATATATTTGCAATCGAACAATAACATATTCTTAACAATATTGTTTATTTATAATTGTAATATAGCAGCCTGTCTCTTTATACTACGTAAATAGGAATACCTTTTAATTTTGTTATTGGCAATGCAAGGCTATTGCATTAATAAACAAGTTATTAACAAAACTGGTCAGAAACAGTTTCAATACTGAATTTCTAATTGCAATCTCAATTTTATTACTGGTTTTATAAACGTTTATTGTTTACTCGTAATTTACTGTCAACCATATTTTCGTTGTTTTTTTTTCTCTCTCTTTCTTTATGTTTTGTTTTCTCTTCCTTAATGTTCTCCTTTCTCTTCTTCTTCTTCTTTTCTTTTTATTCCTTTTATCATATCAATTTAATTACTGCATGTCTTAATTTGGGTATTCTAAATTGTACTATTTTGATGTACATGTATGTTAAATGTTGCAGTTTGATTTGTAAGTTCAAGATGTGTCGGCTTATAGCTGTGGCTTTGGATTTTTATCAATAATAGCCTTATCTATTCAATTCAATTCAATTCAAATTAAAGCTTGCTATGCGGAATTAGCTTACGGATTATTTTGTGCTGTAGAAATGGGTCTATCCTGTACATGTAAAGAACACTTGCCATCACTGTTCATACCCACTACGTACAATTATAATACATTAGTTAAACAAATTATAGATTGAAAGTACTTTGATTATTTTTAAATTGTTGGAACCATCCTTTTAAATTTCATAAAATTGATCTGACATTATCACTTGGTCAATTCTGATCCTAAGAATCTTGTAAAAGCCTAAAAGCCTGCCATAATAAAGCTCAATTTAAGTAATAGCTACCTCTCGAATTAATCTGGTCTAAATCCCCTAAATAATGTTATTTACGACAGACTATTATGTCCATAAGACTATAATAAACAGTTTCACACTACATGGCTGAAATAGGTAACATGTATAATTAAAAGACTTTGTATATAATTGAAACTTCATCCTCTAAACTTCCAACAATTTTTGAATAATTATATATTATGTATCGCCAGTCGCATTATTTTTCTGTTAAATATGTGTTTTCTTCGACTGTCACCTAGTTACAGATTGAATTCATCCATGAATTAAATACACCTTTGTTGAAGGACATGGCATATCAATTAAAAGTGGTGTATCTATAGATCAATAAAATCTTCGATTCACTTGGGGCAAATGCTGCCAAGAAATGAAGGGGGAATGGCGAACGGGCTTTACATTTTTCTGGACCTTCATAAGCCCACCGGCCCCATCTTATGTTGGATATGCCACTGCAGATTGTGTATGAAACTAACAACTGGGACTCTGAAAAGATTATAATAATAATAACTTTTACTTATATGGCGCTTTTCATAAGACATTTATATCAAAGCGCTTTACAATATTGATACAATTAAAACTAAACAGAGTAATGATAAGAGAACATATTTAAAGTGAAATTATGAAACATAAGATAACAAGGTAAGGTAACGATTTAAGAACTAGGTTAAATATGCATTTTCCATTAGGTAGGTTTTTAATTTTGATCTAAACAAAGTAATATCAGAGATGCAACGAATGGAGGCTGGAAGAGAATTCCAGATTATCTTCCCTTACCCTCTTGCTCTCGGAGAACAATTTTCTGATTCCTGCCCAACAGCAGGTTTTAGGGGTCTCAGAATGATCTTCATCTTCCTCCTCGAAAGACAAAGATCGGGGTCTGGATTTAGCAGAGCCCATTTTGAAAATTGCCAAAAGTTTCGAAATAATTTGCGAAAATCTCTCAATAACTCTCTGAAAGCTATGTGCACAAGAGAAATTAATCTCGATTGTCATAAAATTGTAGGGGCAGTACTAGTGGTTACCAGAGATACACGCATGCGCATTGTTAATCATGGTGCGCGCTTGCCTCTCTACGTCAACAATGGTAAGGATGCGCGCGCAGCAAAAAGTTTAGTAAGTTTGTCTGGTGCAGCGCAATGCATGAATCTTAAAAAGAACATGTATGCAGGTCAAATATTTGAATGTATTTCTATAACATGAGTAGTTCGATAACTCTAGATATCATATAGTATATTCAAACTGATTATTTTGTATGATATCCTTTAATCTATTTAGGTACTTCGAAATCAAATCACTTTGATAAACATAGGTCTGTAAGTCGGCAATGCACCTAAGGGTGCACCTAAAATATGTGGGCAATATTGGGAGATCTTTTTATGACAAAATTGGCTCAGGAAAATATACAACTTCAGAATTAATGTTCAGTTATTGGTTGAGTTTGCTGTTGCTGAAAGCCAATAAAGTATAAACAATGAATTCATTTTTACAATATCCTGTTATTGAAGTCAGAGTAGTAATTGAAGCAACTTTGGTCTTCATGCAGGGAGAACAGTATAGTTAATTGATGTCGCTACCCTAAATAAATTAATACTACATGTATTTTTAACATAACTGTTTTTATTATCATTATCATTACTATCATTCCTCCTTTTCAGGACTCCTCAATCCTCCCTATCTCTCATGGTGCACCCGCAAGCCTACCGTATAAGACTAGTCTTGTTTCTGAACGATATTGGGGGAAAAACCCATGGTATTGACAATGTGTGAATGAAGACGAACTCTTTTTTCGTGAGGAATATTATGGATTTTCATTATGGATGCATTTTACTGTTGTTGCATAATAAAATATGAGACAAAACTTACAATCTGAACAATTAAGTTTAGTATATATTTCAGACATACTTTGTGATATTACGTTTCGGAAAATGTTAAATGAATGAGAAGCAGAAAAAAGGAGATAGAAGAAATGATAACGAAGGGATGGGAACTTCTTAACCTTTGAGAGGAGAAAACAGATCCACGTATTAGAAATAGATATGTTCAGTTTTTTGCTCACGTCCGTCACGATAGATCGGTTCATCAACGACGAGGAGAACGATGAGGAGTCGGTGACATCCAATGTCGAGTACGGGAACGAAGATGTTGACAACGCCGACGACGATTGCAGTGTTGATCAAGAGGTCGAGCGTGAGATCAAGGATGCAATCGAGGAGTCCAGTGAGGATGAGACCAGCTCACAGACTGACCAGACTTTGATGGTCAAGAAGTGGTACATTGTCCAAATCACCAAGGTCAACAGCATGGACCAGACAGGTAAGCTTTTTCTTGTTTTGTCTTTATATTTCAATTTTACAAATACGTGTATAATTCCTACATTATTTTGATTATAAACAACATCTGCTCAAACGTCTCTCTGTTCATCTACGACACCATGAAGGAGGAGAAGAGAAGGGAGAGGAGAATGAGGAGAAGGAAGAAGAGGTGGACGAAGAGGAGGAGGGGGAGGAGGAGGAGGAAGAGGAGGAGGAAGAGGAGGAAGAGGCGGAAGAGGAGGAGGAGGAAGAGGAAGAAGAGGAGGAAGGAGGAAGAGGAGGAGGAGAGGGAGAGGAGGAGGAGGAGGAGGAGAAGGGGGAGGAGGAGGAGGAGGAGTATATATGGAAGAGATAGGCGTCGACGAGCATGGAGCAGTCACTGGGAAAACAGGAAAGAGGATCACGAGATGGAGATACATCTATCATCAAGAAGCTGATTTGTTGTTCTGGTAAAAACAAAGATGTAAGCCAATCATCGGTTAGCATTACCCCTCCCCCCCCCCCCCTCCCCAACTTGATTGGTCATCATGATGGGTTTGAATAATTTCAGATGTTAATAGTTAATAAAGTGGTTGGCAACATCGACATTATCGTAGACTTTGTTTTAACATGTTTTAAGTTAAGAACTTCCATAGGCTGGTCTTTGCAGATTGTTCTTTTAGTTGTCAACACATTATTTTTCTAAATATTCTATAATCATTCCAATAAAGAA